ACAACTGTGCCAATTCACCCTACACTAGTAAATTATATATAAAGTTTTACTATACCTCTTCTAGTTCTGGATGATTGTCAGACAAACTCGTCACAACATTGATCAACTGTTCTTTGGTCAAACCACAAATCTGAGTTGATATCGAAACAGGTTGGACTGTTCTTTGAACTCGTTGTTTCTTTGCCTTGGGTTTACTCGACGTTGGAGTATCTTGTCCTCCAGATGTTTGACATTTCCTTTTTTCATTGGATTCCTTTGGTGTTTTTGGTGGAGTCTCAAATACTCCAACTACTGAAATGATGAAACAATTTAAGGTTAGTAAATGAAAGTAAAATGTCACGTTTGTGACCTGAAAATACATATTTTTTTTTAGCTAAGATGTAATTTCATTAATTAAAAATAAAGTATGATCTTGGTGCCACTTAAGCTAAAATGAGATTCTGTTAATTTGTACATCAAGTCTAATTCACTAAAATGTTAAGTAACTAAAGTGTTTATAGTAATATTGATGGACAATCTTCAGGAGGCATCTAAATTATTTGGGCAATAGAGAGATTCACTTCTGCATGTAGAAGTAGAACGTTTTACATAGAAGGTACAGAAACTGGTGTTGACATTTGTTTTATGACAGTAAGTTGTGCACATGTTCCTGGACACCATTTTTGTCTATTGGTCATGGCTGAATCAATATTTCTTAGAATGTACAACACCTGTGCAAGGTGACTTCTCACATGTTTCAGTGTCAATATTCTTATTAAAGGGACAATTGTCAAGTGTTTGTTGAATCATCTTACTTCAAAATTTTTAAAATTACAACAAAAACCCATCATGAAGATTGCCTTGAAATCACTATTCAATTCTTTTCAAAATAGTCAATTTTTGGATAATTTAAATCAATCTGAGAAATCTTCAAAAATGTTGGACGCTGAATTTCAAGCCCTAAAAATTGATCCTTCAGAGTTAAGTATCTTGAAATACTGATTTATCAGAATGTTTCTGGGGTTCACAATAAGTTGGCATTTATTCATTTGAACAAAGATGCTGAGATCAGTGGAAAAACATTTCCAAGGATCAGGATGAATGACATTTTACACTACATCATTTGTTTGCTAACTTGTCAATTGTTTCTATTATGTTTTACAATGGCATAGACACAATTCAAATCTACATCATTAACATAGCTAGACTTGGGGAATTCAAAAGAAGGATTAAGTATTGTATCATCCTTAAAAGGAAGTCCAGCACACTTGAATCATCATTGCAACAAGGTGTGAAAACCACACAATAGATCCTGGAAATTGTTGTAAAAAACGACATGTCCTTGAAAAATTGCATAATCAGGCACGAACAGTAGTCTGATCAAGCAATATAAAGGACTGTCGGTGGTTAGGGTGCAAACAATTTTACCTTACTACAAGTAATGCACATTTTGATAAATCTGCCACAGGCAGCAATAAAAAGCCAGAATAAAATTAGTAGAGATGTATTCTCTAAGTCAAGCCTACGTCACAAACTGGTCAAAATCCCCCAAACATTGCCAGCAACCAATCACAGACTAGCTTAAACAATAGCTTTCCCTGGCGATAATACTTAGCAACGTTATTTCCCCCACCCTAACTTGAAAAATCTTTTGTTTTTGTCCAGTTTCCGTTTCCGGTCTGTCTTAGAGAATTAATCTTTCCTATCACTGTATGAGAGTACTTGTGTTTAGACAGTTTGCTATTCTTAAAAACGAACCACAACAGAAATCCATAGAAGACAAGGATTTTTTTTTTTCTTCCGAAAATTCAATTTAATTTTGTTTGTGATAGGTTCTGGCAATGTTTGGGAGTCTTGACATACTGTAGAATACTTTATTTTCGCTTGCAATTTATTTTCGCTGAAGGGATGATTTCGTGAAAATAAAATTCAGCGAATATACTTTTTTTCCTATATTTTACATTAAACTCATCAATAATCAGTGAAAATAAATTCCATACAAAATGCCCGAAAAGCCTTTTCAGCGAAAATTAATTCCAGCGAAAATAAAGTATTCCACAGTAGTTTCATTTTTGGGAAAACTTGACAAACACCTATACACTAGATGTAATCAGTTTGCCACTAATGTAAGTTTTAACAGTTGCTAACTCTGTTCAAATGTTGTTGGCTCTCTTTCCGAAAAATATATGAACACAAAATAGAAATTGATTAATATATGCAGAGAAATTTGTCAACAACTTTGATTTCTTATTTAAATGATTATCAAAAATCTTGAGCAGGAGTGTTGGAGCAGCATGTTCTTAAACTTGTCAGACTACAATTTCTGTATAAATATAGTCCATATTACAGATTTTGATGTTCAGTTATTTTAAAATTAAAACTATGAAGTATTACCTCCATGGTTAAAATTAGAAGCTAAAATTTACTGTAAATGGGACAATATCAAGTAGCAGCTACAGATTCCTTAGACAGTGCAGTTACTTTTACACAATTTACCTAACTCCAAACAGCAAAAATATAGTAGGTGGAATTAAAAATACATTTCTTACCTAAATCAGAATGATCGTCTTCTTCATTTACATCTGTAGAATGATATCCAATATTATTTCTATGTAGTTGATACTCTGCTTTTGTCAGGTTCAGTCTTGATTTGAGTTTGCCATACTCTCTGATAAGCAAATCTCTTTGGCTTTCACGTGGAGTTGCATGATGTGGTGGGGTGAGAAATGGGTCTGATGGCATCATTGAAGTGGCTGTGTTACTAACTGAAATAGAAGCGATAGTACAGAATAAATGAAATTGATCGTTTTAGTGTTTACACTGCAAGGAAATACATATTTTGGAATTTCAACTGATAGATTTCTTGTAAATTAATGCAGCGAAATGTTAACATGTCCACTATCCTTCAAAACTGCCTTGTCAAAGGGGAAACTTAAAGGAATTCCCGCCACCTGAAGGACATTGATATCGGTCAACTTGGAAAACATAAAAGTATAACATACATGATTTTTGCTGTGGATAATTTATTTGAAAATGTTTTCTCAAATGCATGGGAATTTAGTTGTTTCAAAAACAATCGTTGTAATATATTTTATGTATGTAAATTTGTCAACTAAATTCGTCGCTCGAGCCAGGGACCAATTTTCAATGTCCCAAAACAAAATGGTGGTCTTTTAACAAAACATCATTTCTCGCAATAAGGTAAACGAGGCTAAAAACATTACTAGTACTACAGCATTTTTTTTCCGGAAATAATCCAATGTTTTGCCACTTTTTAACAAGAAGGTGGACCATTTCCGACCGATGACTCGAGTTGAGTTTACACATCCGGAGTTTAACATTTCCCGCGAATTTTTAAAAAATGTCGATTTTAGAACTTGTATAACTATGCGCCACAAACTTTTTTTTTTAAATAACGAAATAACATGAACCGAAAGAAATAGTAATGACAGAATATAGTACTAAAAATAACATAAAACATAAAAATCTCGTTGAAAAATAACTTACTCATATGTGGTTGCATAGTCCGGGTACCGGCCCCAAGGCTTCCTAAAACTCTACGATTCATTCTTAAAAATAGTTTCTCTTGATCGTTGGAAAAGGTAGGGATAGTGGATAGTTCCTAAACCACGCTTATTAAATTAAATATATGACGAATTAATAAAGATGCGATAACAAAAATCGCACAAAACGAAAGAAAACACAGAGCCTTTTTTTTCTAAGTACCACTCACAACGAGTACACTACGGGAACTGCTCAAAGGATTTCGATTCTGGCGCGATGATCTCTGATTGGATGATCTACTAATTTATTATTTGCATAGGTCAGCTGGGTCACTACATAAAAGTCCATATTTAAAAGAGATTATACTACATATTTAATTTACGTGTATGACCTAAAGAAGTAAAAGATTCACTAAGATTGCAATGTGTGCCAAAATTAGACACTAAAGTTCGGATTATTGAGTTTTAACGAAAAGTGCCCTTTGACCACACTCAGCTGGTTCGCTGTAATTGGTTGACTTATTTACCCATGGCTCTCATCGTTCAAAATGGCCGAAGTTTGAAGTAAAGTTTTGCGGAGGGTATTTTTTTCAAAAAAAAAACTCATTGAATGTAATGTTTATTAGTGTAATCGATATTTAAAAACATTGACCATTTCGAGGTGTATTCATAGGGACTATATTTTGTTTAGTTTTTGTTCACGACTTCACCGGTTCCATCACGATACGGTGGACTCACCAGCTACACTCTCCGATTTTTGTAGATGTAAACTAAGCTCGCTTGGTTCTCGTCCACGGTTCCATCAAATCACATTTGGTGATTTTGAGCGTTATATCGTGTCCTTGAAAATGGTATGCCAGCTTTTAAATTACCTGCATGCTGCCAGTTAAGTTAAAAAATGGAGTCATCGAAGAAGCCAATCTTTGACTGGAGTTACAAGCCCATAAAAAGAAGACTTCCGCCCGACGATTTATTCTTTGAAGATGGTGATGTGGAATGTTTTCTACAGGCAAAACAATATCCATTAGATCTAGAAGATGATGATACAGAACCAAGGTATGGCAATTAAATTATAAAGTCACTGATTTTGAAATTGAATTAAGGTAGCGAGAAGGGTTTTGTGACGTTTTTAAATAAAACATTCTCTGTCTGTTGTCTCGTTCAGAACAGTAATTTAGGTTATATATATCAAAAGACTAAGTATAGAGGTACAAGTTCGCACAAACTGGACAGTCATTGTTTACATAATTATCACGTGACATCAAAAATGGCGAACCTTGTAAAAATGACTAAGTACGCGATTGCGAGAGCACACTGCGGAATTTCCTGGTGAAATTTACGTCATGCATTGTCCGTAATCAAGCCCATTGAAATGCGTCTCCGATAATCAAAAGAGCTATTATTCCGATTTCTATGCAGGTTTGTTTTTTTGTCCTTAAATTATTTCATACTTGGCACCTTTAACAGACTATTATTCTGTGACAAAGCATTTTCTTTAAAAACCCAGACATATTTCGCACCATCATTATCTTTTGAACGATAACTGCGAGTTTGAATGTCCTAGTCCGAACGCACTTGATTTGG